CCATATTCAAATTTCCCTTACTGTCCCCCAAACGTCTTTTCTGGCTATTTTCTCACTTGATTTCATACGTGTTACAACCCCAGCTCTCTACTCCCACCAAGTTAATTTGCTCCAGCCCCTCCGGAGAAGCCTTGTTCCTGCTGTTTCTGTACACTCACTCTCATTTCCTCTTACTCTTCCTCAAACAGTTGTTCAGCAACTCCTATGTGTCAGGCATTGCCTGGGGATACAGAGATGAAAAAAAGGTCCTTTCCTTCCAGACATTCAGTCTAAGGGAGAAGACAAAACTGTAAAGAAATAATAGGGTGCTACCACTGAGGGTGTGAAGTGCCTGCAGCCCTAGCAAAGTGCTAAATGCCCTCTAGGGGCTTCTCTGCCCATTCTCCCAACTGTACATTAAAAGCCTCTCTTCCAGAAAGCTATTCTGGACTAATCCCACTTGCTCTTGGTTTCATTCTGGGCCTCTGCAGGATCCATGATTTACGCAAATACAGATTTATTATTAAATATAAAATTCATATGAACTTCTCCTGCTTGAGACTATAGCCTTAGGTATCCTAGGAGTTTATGACTGATCTCCCTTGCTAGAAGAAAACTCAGGTAGAAGAAAAATAGGGGTGGCAACTACCTTAATATGTGCCAGGCACTGATGACACAGAGATAAAGAAATATGGCCTTGTTGTAAGCAGCTTATTCTCCAGGGGGAGAAGCATTCGTGCGCACAGTGAGTGCACTATGTCACACAGGCACCCTGGTGGGCATCTAGGTGCCGTGTGGGCCTAGATGAGGGACTGGGCAATCACTGCCCCTAAGTGTCTTCTGACATCTCCCCTAAACCCCCACATTTCTGCACATCCTGGACCTTGCTGAGTTCTCCCCATTCAAGTCCCCATGGGGGTTGCCATCCTGGAGCATTTCTGCCTGTGTCTGAGACTGAGGCAGGACCCTCATGGACTGGCTCAGGCCAGCATGAATGTGCCTACTGCCACTGAAACGTCAGGCCACTCAGGAGGGGAAGAGTGCAAACAGCAATCAAAGAATGGGAAGAGGTAAGGAGGGACGGTCCCAGGGCATGGTCTTCACACCACACTCACACCAGCAGACACACATGCAGGCCTGGCCGCAGAGGGGATGAAGGACAAGCACGAATCCAACCTTGGCAAACCGGTTGCTGCCGGTCCTCTCCTTGTGCAGGCTGTAGTCCAGGAGCCTCTTGCAAATGGTCTCAGTGACTTCAATTAACCGTAAGTCCCTGCCGAGACAGCAGCACGAGAGGAACTGAGTTCCTCTTCTGGACCCAGTGAGTTAGTGGTCTGTCCCTCCAGCCCTGCTGCCCCAACACCTGTGCATCTCACCAACGAGAAGTAAGTCAGAGCTGGAAGGAAGATAAGGCATCTGGTCTGGGGGCTCTGAAATGCAGACCAGAGAGACAATATTTTAACAGCTCTAAGGGAAGGAATTTTTTATAAAGCTAAATAATTCAGTATTTAGATTTTTTTTTGAGACAGGGTCTGGCTCTGTTGCCCAGGCTAGAGTGTAGTGGCATGATCATAGCTCACTGCAACCTCAAACTCCTGGGTTCAAGTGATCCTCCTACCTAGTATTTAGATTTTTTAAAGTTTTTTTTTTGTAGTGACAGGGTCTCAATATATTGCCCATGCTGGTCTCAAACTCTTGGCCTCAGGTGATCCTCAAGTTGGCCTCCAATAGTGCTGGGATTACAGGTGGAAGCCACCACACCCAGGAGTGTTTTTGATAAAGCAAAATATATTAAATTAAGATGGTAAAATATCATTTCATTTTGAAAGGATGATCACAGCTGACAGGTTTTTTTAGGTTTTTTTTTTTTTTTTTGAGATAGAGTCTCACTCTTTTGCCC